AAAAAAAAAAAAAAAGAAAAAGAATGGGAGAAGATGGGGAAATGGTCGAGAAAACCATCTTGGTTTAGTGAAAAAAGCCTGTGAAAGTCAGAAAATCTGTTCCTGTCCAGCTCTATCCCCAGTGTGACATTTGGCCTGTACCTTCCCCTCTGTGACCTTCCATTTCCACACCCTACCTATTCATCCATCATTGGGCAGTTGTGAGACAAATGAGCCCGGGTGGGAGAGTCAAGTGTTAAGTGTAGATGAAGATAAGAGGAAGTTATTATGACGCCTTCAAAGCGAGCCTCCCTGTCTGATGGACTTCACTTCTGAAAGGAGGGCTCATTTGGTCACTCATTCCTTGCTGCACAAGTTTGTCAGCACCCAGTTGCCAGGCATTTGCCATTGGCACAGGGGTAAAAAGGTAGACGTAGCTCCTGCTCTCTGTGATCTTACACCCTGCAGGAGAGACAGATAAGAACTAAGTAAAAATGTTAATAACTATAGTGTGATGTAATCAATAATCAGGAGCAGCTGGCCAAGGAAGGTACCAGGGAAGCAGCCAGAAAGATGGCCTTTGATGGTGGCCTGAGGATGAAAAGGAGCCAACTTTGGGAAGAGCTTCAAGCAGAAGACACAGCAAGCAAAATGATTCTGAGGCAGGGAAGGACTTGGGATGTTTGAGGAAGCCTAAGGTAGATCTGGGGGAGCATGTGGAAGAGGGGTCAGAGATGAATTGGACAGGGTTAGTTCATGCAGGGCCTTCAAGTTCAAGTAAGAAGTTTGGATTTTCGATGCAATGGAAGCCATTGGAGGGATTTGAACAGGGGAGAGGCGTGATCTGATTTATGTTTATAAATGTTGGTCTGTGGCTATGGAGTCTGGAGAAAAGATACAGGGCACTAGGGTAGATGAAGAGAGACCAGAGAGGGCAGGTGTCGTTCAGGCGAGGAACCAGTGAGGGGCCTACATTAGAGTGATGGCAGTGGGAAAGCCAAGAAGTGGACACATTTGAGATATATGCACACAGAAACAACTGGAATCACCAGTAGGCTGGATTTGTGCAGAGTAAGGGGAAGAACGAAAGTTGACTCTTGTGTTTGGAGTTTGAACAATTGGCTCCATTTTCTGTGATAGGAACACTGGTGGCATGAAAATCAGAAGGTCTGCTTTGTACCTCTTTGTGCCTGTTAGGTTTTGCTGCCTGTTAGACCCCCCAGGTGGAAATGTCACATATGCAGTGAAGTGTCCAGGAGAGGTAGCAGCTGGAGGGAGAAATATGGGTGTCGTCGGCCTGTGCAGTAGAGTGGGGCAGAGTGGGTCAGCTTCAGGACAGTGCAGATGGGGAAGATCAGACAGCTGAGACAGGAGTTCTGCAGCCCTCTGGGCTGAGAGGTTAGAGAGACGAGTGGGCAGCAGGGGAGACTGAACCAGGAAGCCAGAGGTAAGATCAAAGCAGGACTGTGTCTTAGAAGCCAAGGGAGAAAAGAGTTTCAAGGAAGAGTGAACTATGTCAGACAGTGCTGAGCGATTAATATGCAGATAGAGAAGTATCTGTTGGGTTCAGTAACGTGGAGGTCATCGGCAGGTTTGACAAGAGCATTGCCAGCAAAGGCAAATAAGTCATCTTTGGAAAAGTTTTACTAAGAACAGGGTGGGGGCTGGCTGAAGATGTGGGTTAAAGGCAGGGGTTTTTTTTGTTTTGTTTTGTTTTGCTGTTTTTGGCTGGGTCTGGGTTTGAACCCACCACCTCTGGCATATGGAGCCGGCGCCCTACTCCTTTGAGCCACAGGCACTGCCCCTAGGGCAGGGTTTTTTTAGTTGAGAAAAAGCCTGTCTGAGTGCCTGTGGGGCAGGGTAGTGGATGCAGACAGCAAAGTCCTTGAGGAGTTGGGTGCAATAGGAGTGATGACAGAACAGGGATGCAGAAATTTCTGGCTTTGGAGACTTAGCAGTGGCCAGGAGGGAGGAGAGATGTGTGGGTTATAACTGGGGAAGGAAGGCTTAAAGGTGGGGAGTGGGGGAGGGTTGAGAGAGTTGGTAGAGCAGGAAAGGGAGCTTCTGAGAGAGATGGAGTGGGGCTCATGGCCCAGGCCTCTGGCTCATCCTCTGCCACAACTCAGATGGTTTGGGTTCTCAGAGGCCACATCTCACGCCCATGTTGTCACTACTTCTTCCCCTCCCCAGGACCTTTGTTGGGCTCGAGGTCACCTCAGGGCATACCCAGTTCCTGGACCTAGTTTCAGAGGTAGACAGAGTCATGGAGGAATTCAACCTTACCACTTTCTACCAGGTAATGAACTGGGCTGCTGCTTCTCCATTGGCCCATCTGTAACTTGGATAAAACCATCCTCAAAGAAGCCCTCATAAGTGGCAAAATGAAGAGGCCTTCAGCACTTTCCCATGCAGGGTGTCCCAAATGCCAGCCTTCCAAGGACATAGACGCCTGAAAGTTGAGGGGTCAGAGGTATAGACAGATTTCTAAGAAATCTTATATTATATCTTACACATGCTCAAGGTTTATACCTTTCCCATAATGTATCCATGTTTGCTTTTATGTTTTTAAGAAGTAGTTGTCGGGCGGTGCCTGTGGCTCAACGAGTAGGGCACCAGCCCCATGTACTAAGGGTGGCAGGTTCAAACCCGGCCTCAGCCAAACTGCAACAACAACAAAAAAATAGCCAGGCGTTGTGGCAGACGCCTGTAGTCCCAGCTACTTGGGAGGCTAAGACAAGAGGATCGCCTAAGCCCAAGAACTGGAGGTTGCTGTGACCTGTAATGCCATGGCACTCTACCAAGGGTGACAAAGTGAGACTCTGTCTCTAAAAAAAAAAGAAAGAAAGAAAAAAGAAGTAGTTATCAAAAAACAGATTCTCCAGGAAGAGGAATTGTACCCTTCCTACACCTTGCCCAGTGCCCTCCAAAGATATTTGGACTCTAAGTTGACTATCAAGGTTTAAAAGGACCATTAGCTTCATTTGATATATTTTTTTAAAATCATGTTGAAGTATCTAAGTATGAAATTGAATGAAGATAATTATCCTTCCTTCAAAATTAGAGACATTTTGGGTTTTTTTCATTTCATCTGAAAAGTATGGTATCTACTAGAATGTCCTAGAGCAGAAAATAGAGTAAAAGCCTGGATTTTCTTCCATGACCCCATATTTAATGACTCTCTCTGTGATATTTAAAGGAAAGTCTGTGAGAACAGGATCGTCTTAGCTCAGGCTGCCATAACAAAATACCATAGACTGGTGGCTTAGACAACAGAAATTTAGTTTGGCACAGTTCTATTGGCTAGAAGTCCAAGATCAAGGTGCCAGCACGGTTGGTTTCTGGTGAGGGCTCTTGTTTTGTTTTGTTTTTTGCAGTTTTTGGCCGGGGCTGGGTTTGAACCCTCTATCTCTGGTATGTAGGACCAGCGCCCTACTCCTTGAGCCATAGGTGCTGCCCGACTCTGGTGAGGGTTCTTCCTGGCTTATAAACAGCAGGCTTCTAGCAGTGTCCTCATTTGGTGATGGGAGGGGGAGGCAGGGCAGGCGAGGGGTGGAGAAAGACAGACAAACAGCCAGAGAGATTGAGAGATTTCAGTGTACAGGCTTTCTAATTTTCTTATAAGGGCACTAATCCCATCATGAGGACCACACCCTCATGACCTCATCTAACCCTAATTATTTATTAAGGTCCCATCCCTAAATATTATCACACTGGGAGATAGGGCTTCATGAATTTAAGGGAAGCCCAAATTCTGTAGCAAGGACCAACTCTAGACTATTTTGTCTGTCTCTGGAGTGTTCTTGGGATCAACACTGAGGAATCCAGGCTAGGGCTCCAGCAGGAATACCATGACAGCTCTGTCACAGAGCTGCTCTGAGGCTAGGCCTGCCAGGGCATTCAGATGACGGCCTGCCTTCCTGCTTTTCCTCTCCAGGACCCTTCCTTCCACATCAGTCTGGCCTGGTGTGTGGGTGATGCAAGTCTGCAGCTAGAAGGGAAGTGCCTGCGGGAACTACAGGTGAATGCCCAGGGTGCGAACACAAAAGGTGCTGAACTCCAGAAATGCTAGGAGTGATGTTGGGAGGGAGAGGTTTAGGCATCTAAGCCTGAATCCCTGGGAAGCAAATGACATGGCAGGAGACCCTAACTTGTTACCTTGCTACTCAAACTGTGGTCCCCAGACCAACAGCATCAGTATCACCTGGGAACTGATTAACAATGCAGACTCTAGACCAAAGAAATCAGAATTGCATTGTAACGAGACCTCTAAGGATTTCTGTGCACATTAAAATTTGAGAACCCCTGCCTCAGAACACAGATCTGCGAGGAGGCTGCAGACCTAAAGTCCTCACCTCCTACCCAGAGGTCAAAGGGTTGCATCTTGCAGATGCTGGAAATGAGTGAAATGTGCTAGGTATAAGGAACATCCAGCCCCCAGAGCCTATCATATTTTGATAAGTAGGTGACGTATTTCACTTTCCCATCTGTGCCCTTGGAGGACAGTGTATGCGAAGTAGTAAATGCCAGCTGATTCTCTGCTTCTGGTGGGGGCGCCAGGAGGGAGTTTGGCCATCCAGGAATGTGGGCCTAGTATTGCTACACTTCTGTTTTTTCTAGAGAAGCCAGAAATACAGATTTTTATGTGTAATCTCCCAATTTTTAAATGTTGGCAAACTAATTGGGATTTTTCAAAAACATGTAAGCCAAAGAAAAATGTTCAGGCTGGATACAGTCCGTGAACAGTCATCGAGAAGCCATCTCATTCTTGGCCTGAATGCTAGAAGTGGCAAAGGACTCTGGTTCTGGCCCCCCAGACCTGGGTCCTGCTCCTGGTTTTAGTTGGTTTCTATAACCCAGCGCTCTGAGCAGCCATATCTTCATCTGGGAAGTTGAAATGACAGGACCAACCCCGCAAGATTACAGAGGTGATTAGACAAAACAGCTAATGCAGAGCCCTTGGGTCCCTAAGCCTTTGAAGGAGCTGGGGAGGCTGGTTTTGTTTGCAGTGCCTCTGAGTCCTGGATTTTCTTTAACATGACTATCGTTTCCTGGCTGCTGGTTTAAGGAAATTGTGGATGAGTTTGAAGATGCTGAGATGCTGCTGCGTGTGCACACTGAGCATGTCCGCTGCAAATCTGGGAACAAGTTCTTCTCGATACCTTTGAAGTGAGCACCAGAAGCCTTACTTTCCTGGGCCCCTCTGCAGGCCAGTAGAGATAAAGAGGGCTAGAACGGATTGGGATGCTTCTAGCCTCCCCAGAGGAGGTGCTTCAGCCTGGCAGGAGGTGTAGTCACTCGTCATCCTCCCTGGGGGCTGGCTCTCTGTCCTGCCCTTTTGGGTTGCAGGTTGAGAGCTGCTGTGTTGTGATCATTCACACAAATTGCCAGTAGAGGGCATCCTGGGCATCCTAATTCTTGCCCTGTGGTGGTTAAGGAAAAAAAAAAAAAGAAAATGGGGCCACCAGTGAGCCCATCCATACTCAGCCAGAATCCCCTCTGTAGTCCCTCAGATGAATAGCCTCTCCCTCTCCTCCCCCACTTCCCCAGTTCAGCAGTTTGTGTTTTGATGCCATTGGCCTCATCATGCCATGGCTCATCTGTGGTCAAGCCAGGACATAGGGTGCTTCTGTGGATGTCACCCTCCTTCCTTGAAGAGTGTCACTTTCTCATTTATTTACTTTTAATCTTACCCTCCTCCTGTGCCAGCAGAGGCCATTTCAGGGCCACGGTACAGGGTGCTAATTTGTGGTTCAGCACCAGCTTTCTCTATTCTTTCCTCTCACTCACCCCCAGCCAGGTGCCTGGGAAGGCTTGAGCAGATGTTGCATTTTGGCCCGGCTGGTGGCTCAAAGCCAGGCCTCCAACACACTGTGAGCTCTGGCTTTCCCCTCAGTTTTCCCAAAGAGGCAGAGAAGGGCCGTCCCCCAGCTAGAGTTCTCCTGTTGCCTCCTCCCATGGGCATTCTGAGGGGGAACACAGGGGGTAGTGGATGTGCAGGATTTTTATTTTATTTTATTTATTTACTTTTTTTTTGAGACAGAGTCCCACTCTGTCATCCTGGGTAGAGTGCTATGATGCATCATAGCTCACAGCAACCTCAAATTCTTGGGCTTAGACAGTCTTCTCACTTCAGCCTCCCATGTAGCTGGGACTACAGGTTTGTTTTTTATTTTTTAGTAGAGGTGAGGTCTCGCTTTTGCTCAGGCTGGTCTAGAGCTCCTCAGCTCAGCCTCCCAAAGTGTTAGGATTACAGACTGACCCACCCTGCCCAGCCTAGGATTTTCATTTTTTGATCAAGCCTTCCTCAGGACAAAGGACCAGTCCCTCCAGTTTTATCTGGATTTCTGGTGATGGATGAAGAAATCTCTTAATGTTATAAATTATGTTCAACAAATAAAAATTCCATTTTTTATTTTGGATCTTGTTTTGGACTACTTGTATTCAACATGGTGGAAAATAACTTTCCTCCTCCCCTACCCTCTCTGGCTGCCCTTCACAGTTTAGGAGGACTCTTGGGAATCTCTGCTCTGACCTCTGATGTGGCCTCAAGAGGCATTCATGATGCTTTGGTAAAATGAGGGTGGGGTTACCTAGCCTGCCAGGCCTACACCCAGAGGTCATACATACCACATCCAGCCCAGGGCTTGGCGCAAGGCAGGGGGTCACCACCCCTTTCCTCACCAGTATAAGCATAGACATTTAGACCTAATACTTCTACGCTACTTACTAAGAGCTTCCTAGAACCTTCTATTTCTCTCAATAACCCTGCTGAAAATTAAACAGGGTAGGAATAAAGGTTCTGCTTTTACAGTAGAACAGGTCAAATCACTTCTTGGGGTCAAATGAGAACTCAGAAATAAGAACCTGACTCAGCCCTAACCACACCTCCAGCTCTGGGCCAGGCCTGGTACATCCCTGCATACTGCCCTCTGGTCAGGCCTTGGGCTCATGGAAGCCTGTAGGAAAAGTGTGGGGAGAGGGGCCTGTTGTTCTGGCTTCCACTATGCCCCCTGCAACTCTGCCTTACCTGGCCCAGGCTCCCAGTCATTGCACTGGGAAACCCAGAAATCACATCCTGTATCTTGTTCCTCCATTCTCACCACATTGATCTCCTGACTGGGACTGGTCAGTATGTTAGTTCTTGATCCTCCAGGAAGCCAGGTATGCTTTCTGGCTTGCAAACAACATGGAAACTCTGGCTGTGCAGCCTGCATTTAACTGACACCTGCTGGGTGCCAGGCCCTAACCTGAGCACTTGGGTCAATCAGACTAGGTCTGGTCCTCCAGATGTTCAGTCACCATGGGGGAGTAGGCAAGGTGCATGAAGAATCTCCAACCCAGCTTCATACTTCCCAAAATTTGGGCACTGGCTCTTCTTGGGAGGGGGGCTGGCATGATGTAGGGCCCCATTAATAAGCCCAGGAAGATAAGACTGGGCCATTCCCCTAGGGGAGGATGTGGCTCAGGGAGTCCATCTGTGCTGAAGATGGAATTAGAGTGCAGCAACTTTGAGAAGTGGGCCAAGATCAATAACTGGCTCTTCAATGGAGAATGGAAGGTGGCAATGGAGGAAGGAAGTAGGAGATTCACTGAAGGGGAGGGGTCAGCAGGCTGAGCCCAAGGAGGCTGGCGGTGGCTTGGCTGGTACCCAAACATTGAGTGTGCCTCTGGAGCAGAGCAGTGCAGCCAGCACTCCCGCTGACAGTGCAGAAGCAGCTGGGGCTCTTCCATAAGAGGAGATGTGCTCTGAGAAACCTGGAGACAACTCCAGCGACAGAGGGAAGACTGAAGCAGGCCCCCCCCCCCAGGCAGGCTGGCGCACAAAGAAATGCTCTTGATGAGGATTTTATCACACCAGGGAGAGTACAAAATCAACACATCTGGCCTCAGTGTCCTCAGATGTTCCCCGCAGAGCAGGGAAAGGCTCATCTCACGGCCAAGTTGGCTGATTTCCACCTGGCACTCTCCCACCCCTCTCCAGACCACCCCAGCTTTGTTTCTAAAGGAGAGGGAAATTACTTTGGCTTTGTTTGTTTATTCTTTCCTTGTCTTGGCACCAAGAGTCCCAAGGCCTGCCTCACCTTTGATGGTGTGCCTGGTGCACCACCGGGCATGGGGGGGGCAGCTGGGGAGGGGTGTCCTGGGCCTAGCTCCAGCCCATAGCAACTTTCCTTTGCTGAACAAGGGACGTCAGCTACTACCTGAATCAGAAATGCTTCCTGTGCAAATCAGGAAAACAAACCCAAAGTGGCAATAACTTGCTTGAGGTCACCCAGTAAATAAATAATTAGTGCTGAGGCAGAAACCCAGTAACATGGCTTCTAATGTAAAACTTTTTGTACAGCCCCTTACACTACATCAGCATCCCAAAATAAAAATACTCTGAAATACCATATCGGGGCTTATTTCAAAAGACTCCAAGAAAAAAGCTGAGTCGGGGAGAGGGAAGGGTCAAGTTATAGATGAGACAATATTGGCAAAATGTGGGTAATGTTAAAAGCTACTTGATGAGAGGGCTGGAATTAACTTGAACCTCAGATACTGGATAGACTGAGTAGAAACTCAGTTGTCTTGTTAAAGATGGATGTACAAACCCACCTTGAAGCCCCAAAGTACCTGTAAGCAGCCAAAACCAGTGATTGAGAGCTTTAAGATTTGGTCACAGGGGATGTCATTTTCTTACAGACAGATTGACCCAAGAGAAGAATCTCCAGAGAAAAAATAATCACCAGACTGTCTCCGCCACAGCCCTCTAAGACAATTGCTCCAGGTTTCCACCGTCCGGTCCTCTCTTTACTAGGTATCCCCATAAACACAAACTTAAAAAAAAAATTAGCTGATCAGGAATAGATATTGTGAATGAAAGCAATGCGGTTGTTAAGCAGGGACAATCCTGTTGTCCATTTCTGAAGAGCCCTGCACATTACCTAAAAGTAGATTTCAAAGTAAAGCATTTAGAAACCCATTTCCCAGATGAAGGACCTCCACCAAAAAGTCCGTGGAAATGCATGAAATTGCCCCGACCTTTTCGCCAAACTCCGACTTATTTTCCCCCAGGAAGCTCCGCCCGGCACCAGGGCATGACCCCGGCCACGTTCTTTGTCTTCACGTGAC